TCTTATACTAGTTTTAGGTTTTGTGTTCTAGAAAGGATCACCACAAAACTTCATGGGCTTTTACTACAAAGGGAAGCCTTTTGGATATCGAAGTGACATACAGTACATCCACATGGTTTAAATGACAGATTAGATCTTACCTGTTTTCTGTAATTGTCTGTAATTAGATGATTATCTTTAAAAGAGAGTAGCCTCTTTGACCTAATCACTCACTAATGGAAATCAGTAGTACATCTACCCTTTTTGAAGTCTCGTAGCAGAGCCTTACATTCCGCAAGTGCAAGTGAGTATGTTATTGTATCAAATTGTTTATATAAGGATTGTTATGTATTATTTTATAACTGGGTGCTGGTTAGTATACCTATTATTTTGTCCTCTTTAAATTTAGTTTATAAAGCCTCAGAAGATATTATTTCAAACAAATGAAGGAACCTTGAAAGAAACCTGAAGAAGGGATACTCCTCCTGAAACAAGGATTATGAACACCCGGGTTCCCTTGTTGTATTCCCAAGATTATTTATCACGTCTTGAATTCACATGGGACAATATGTTGAAGTTTGTCCACGTGACTGTTGGAAGATCCGACTAAATATTTTTGGAAAACATGAATCTTATGTTTGTTACACTATTGTAAATAGTCTCTATGTGTTTGTTTCCCACACTTGTGTACTCTATACAAGTTAGTTTGGTATTTTCATTATTATTCTAATCAGTATTTTTGCTGAAGCTTATAATAACAGGACATTTGTGTATTTTCACTGAATCAGACCCAGGAAATGCAAGAGGGCTCTAACCCCCTCACCAAACCCCCAATTATCAGTCCTGCCCCCTTCTCCTGGAGCATCATTTCTACACACCAGGAGAGTTCTGGCACCACACTAGTGGAGGCCAGGTAAGTTCTTTCATTTTTAACAGGGGGTTTGGGGTAGGGTGGGTGCTGTCTCCCTGTTCTCCCAGTAGGCACTGGGAGTACATGCAGACAACACCCACAAAAAGCACAGGCTCTTTTGGCGGTGTGCAGACTATAGTCTGCCTCAACCCGGGTTTTTAAAACCTGGGTCGAGCAGATTTCACTGCTGTCTGGAACTGCCCCCAGTACATCAGGCTTGGTCTTTTCACTCCTTCTGTACCAGTGGTGTAGTGGTAGACTTTGGTGCCCTCAGCAAACTAGACAAACCTAATGTTTGTTTGTTTTTGTTTTTTTCACTTTAATTGCTATGGAACCCTAGGATGTGTAGTTTGAAAAGGCACCAGAGTGCTCTGGCTGAGACTTCTAAATCCTCCAGGCCAAATTGGAAATGCAGGATTCAATAGGATGTTGTCATAGCAGTTAAAAAGAAATATAGTATTTGTGTTTTGTACATGGGCATAGAGCACCTTCTAGAACTGTGGTTCTCAATCTCTGGGTCCCCGGGAGTTTTGGCCTACAACTCCCAGTAATCTCAGCCAGTTTAATAGCTGTTAGGATTTCTGGGAGTTAAAGCCAAAAGACCTGTGGACCCACAGGTTGAGAACCACTGCTCTAGAACAACATCAGAGCGAATTCAAAATGCAGGCAGCTGTGCTTAACCAAACAATGCCCAGTTTATTTCACAATTACCAAAGAGCAGAGATTTTGTGATGGATCTTGTCCGTGCCAGAACAACTACTTCCAAAATATTACAGTTTTATATCTAGCTTTCCCTTTACCCGCAGCTAGTTTCTTTTGCCCAGCCTTACCTGCAGCAGTTCTGCTGGTGGCTGCTGATATTTCTCTTTCATCTCCTGGATGAGACTTTCCAGAGAGGATTGTTCTCGGGAAAGTAAGATCAAGTGTTCATCTCTTTTCCTTGCAACCTGCTTCTCTAGCTCCTCCCATTGGGCCCAGAGATGTTTCTCCTGTTCATCCAGAAACTGCCGTATTTCTGTGATTTCTCCCATTGTTTTTTCAATTTTTGCTTTTGTCTGCTTCTGCAGTGAGTACAAAGAAAAGCAAGTAAATGAGTATCACATTAAAACATTTGCTGAAGTAAAAAATAGAGAGGGTTGTGTAAAAGAAGGAATTTCAATAGAAGTTTCATGACAAACAATCATGTAAAACCCCATCTTATTTTTGTTGTTGTGTGCCGTCAAGTCAGTTCCCGCTTATGGCAACCCTAAGATGAATCTATCATGGGGGTTTCTTGATTTTTGTAACCTATTGTTTTAAGTTTCTATCCTTCCCTAATCTCATTTACTCCTATACTTACAAGCAGGTCTTGGGCTTCCTTTTCTGTTTCTGCTTTATACACCAGAATCTTTTCTCTATCCTTCATCAGAGCATCTTGACGAAGATCCATCAAAACCTGAAGAGAAACAAATACTCAGTTTCCATTGAAAGGCAACAGTGCCATTTCACACACACACAGACACCAAGTACAATGATTTTCTCTGTGTTGAAATTAATTGCATTAGTTTTGGCACAGCTCTCTAAGTAATTTGGGATTCTGACTGTCACCTGGGGTATCATCTGCAAAGTTGATAAAGAAGGCCACTGATAACTTCTCAGTGGCCTTCTATTCCGTCATCCAAGCCATCGATAAAGGTGTTGAATGGCACTGGTGTTGAATGGCCAAGACTATGTCCTGTGGAACTCCCACTAGTTCCTTCTCTCTAGGATAAAGAGAAGTCATTGGGAAACACATTTTTGAAGACAGGGGCTACCTTTTCACTCCTCCAGTCTGCTGGTACTTTTAATATTCTCTAGGATTTTTTGAAGTAATTCCAAAACTACTTCGGCCAGTTCTTTTAATATTTTTGAATGTAATTTATCTGTTTCAATTTGGGAGTACTACTGATGTGAACAAGCTGCTGGGGCAAGGAAGGAGGACAGCCTGTTTTCTTGATCCCTGTCCCTCTTGGCTGGTTGTCCAGGGAGGAGATGCAGGGAAGGATACTAGAGACAAAGTTGAAGTACTTTGGCCACATCATGAGGAGACAGCAAAGCCTCGAGAAGACCATTATGCCGGGGAAATTGGAAGGCAAAAGGAAGAGGGGCCGACCAAGGGCAAGATGGATGGATGGCATCCTTGAAGTGACTGGACTGACCTTGAAGGAGCTGGGGGTGGTGACGGCCGACAGGGAGCTCTGGCGTGGGCTGGTCCATGAGGTAACGAAGAGTCGGAGACAACTGAACAAATGAACAACAACAAACCCTATAGTCTTCAGAGCCCAAAAAGACAAACACAGTTGGTTCAAATCAATGGTCTATCTATCAATGGTCCATCTATCAGTTGGTTCAAATCAATGGTCCATCTATCAATGGTCCATCTATCAAATCAATGGCTGCCGATCCAATTCCGAGCACAATTCAAAGTGCTGGTTTTGACCTACAAAACCCTATACGGTTCCGGCCCAGTGTATGTGTCCGAACGGATCCCCCTCTACGCCCCACCTCGGAGTTTAAGATCCTCTGGGGATGCCCTGCTCTCGACCCCGCCTCTAACACAAGTGAGATTGGCGAGGATGAGGAGCAGGGCCTTCTTGGTGGTGGCCCCACACCTGTGGAACTCACTCCCTGGGGAGATTAGATCGGCAACTTCCCTTCTGTCATTTAGGAAAAAGTTGAAAACCTGGATATGGGACCAGGCATTTGGGACATTCTGGCAGCTAAAGAAAGACTTGATGAAGAGCTAGAATTTGACGAAACGAAATGGATTTACGGAACTCCGAACGCTGAGCTCAGGATTAGTTTACTATTGTGTTATTGTACTATTTGTATTGATGAACTTAATTTTTAATTTGTAACTGTTTAATTGCTTATATATATATATGTATGTGTGACAAAGGCATCGAATTGTGCCTTCCTCTGTAAGCCGCCCTGAGTCCCCCCTTGGGGGTGAGAAGGGCGGGGTAAAAGTAACGGAAATAAAATCTAGTCCAGTGGTTCTCAACTGCCCCTTAATAGAGTTCTTCATGTTGTGGTGACCCCCAACCATAACATTATTTTCGTTGCTATTTCATAACCTTAATTTTGCTTCTGCTATGAATCAAAATGTAAATATCTGATAGTCTAGATGGATTTTCATTCACTGGACCAAATTTGGCACAAATGCCCGATATACCCAAATCTGAATACTGGTGGGGTTGGGAGGGAATGGATTTTGTCATCTGGGAGCTGTACTTGCTGGGATTTATAGTTCACCTACAATCAAAGAGCATTCTGAACTCACCAACGATGGAATCAAACCAATCTTGGCACACAGAACTCCCGTGGTCAACAGAAAATACTGGAAGGGTTTGGTGGGAATTGACCTTGAGTTTTGGAGTTGTAGTTCACCTACATCTGAAGAGCATTGTGGACTCAAACAATGATGGATATGGACCAAACTTTGCACCAAAACTCAATATGCCCAAATATGAACATTGGTGGAGTTTGGGGAAATAGGCCTTGATATTTGAGAATTGTAGTTACTGGGATGTATAGTTCACCTACAATCAAAGAGCATTCTGAACTCCACCAATGATGAAATTGGCCAAACTTAGCACAAAGGAGTCCCCTGACCAACAGAAAACACCAGAAGGGTTTGGTGGGCATTGACCTTGAGTTTGGGAGTTGTAGTTCACCTATATCCAGAGAGCACTGTGGACTCAAACAATGATGGATCTGGACCAAACATGGCACAAATATTCCATATGGACAAATATGAACACAGATGGAGTTTGGGGAAAACAGACCTTAGCATTTGTGATTTGTAGTTACTGGGATTTATAGTTCATCTACAATCAAAGAGCATTCTGAACCCTACCAACGACAGAACTGGGGCAAACTTCCCACACAGAACCCCCATACTGAAGGCTATCCAGGCCAACTCCATTCACCAGGAGAAGAAAACATAATGAATGACCTCCTGACTCACCAATGATGGAATTGAACCAATCTTGGCACACAGAACTCCCGTGGTCAACAGAAAATACTGGAAGGGTTTGGTGGGAATTGACCTTTTGTTTTGGACTTGCAGTTCACCTACATCTGGAGAGCATTGTGGATTCAAACAATGATGGATCTGGACCAAACTTGGCATGTGTAATGAATCCCTTACCTTAGCTAGCTGCCTAAAGCCTAAGGAAGTGGGCCTGGTGAAGCCACGGCATCCATTTTAGGGAGATAGGGAGAAGAGATCTTAGGTTAGGTTTGCCTTGAGGGGGCATGTTCAAGTCTTGGAGGGAAAGTTAGAAGGCTAGAAGGTTAGAAAGATGGGGCATAGCCTAAGTGTTCTAAAGGAAAGAAGTGTCTTTTAAACTGGGGCTTGAGGTCCCAATTTGCCAGTTAGGGTTTGGAGCTGTTAGAGTTAGTCAGAGAGAACTTTGGGTTTGAAGAAGATTGGGTGTCTTTTGTGTAGAATTCAGAATAGCTATTGAGTAGATAGCTAGAATACTGTTTGGTAGAGCAGGACCCCTATTCAATTCCTAAGGAAGTCTAGTTCAGGATTTTGGCTAGATTCCTAAGGGGGATTTTTGGGAGTTACTTTCAGAGATTAATTTCCTGAAGTAATTTTCTGTGGTGTAACTTTGAAGACTTGTAACCCAGAAGTTTTAAAGATCTTTACTCTAATGCAGCCACAAGCTTTTATGCCAGTATTTTACTGAAACCATTAAGCATTTGTACCTGAATATTTCAAGCCTGTTCAATAGATGTTCTTGTTATTTTATTCAACTTATACCAGCCTCAGTGTGAATACCTTTGTGGTCAAAGCATTACTAAAGTCAGCTTTTAACAGCCTTTAAGAATCTATAGTGGCACAATGGATGTTACTGAACAAACTCTCAATATTACCTCAGCCTGAATAATAGTGAAATGGTGGCAGCGGAAATCTTTTGAATAAATCTATTTAAGTCTCTCAGTTCCAGTGATTCCCAGTTCCTAACTTTTAAATAGACAGTTGGTTCAACAACCACACCTCTTCTACCTTTTGTGAGCTTCTTATATTTTGGCAAATCAGAGTTGGGATTATTCTATTATATATTTCCTTGTCTCTCTAAATAATTTAATTTAAAATCTTCTCTTCTCTACTACTCCTTGCTGTGTGTATTATATATTTTGGTTAACAGCCTGTGGCGTTTTGTTATAGCATGTATACCTGATATGCCAAAATTTGATAACTGAAGGGGTTTGGGAAAAACTGACCTTCCTTTCTGGAAGTTGTAGTTCACTCACGACCAGAGAAACTGTGACCTCCACCAACGATGGACCTGGACCAAACTGGGCATACAGAATCCATATGATTAACTCAACCTACTAGCAGGTTTTGAGAGGACTACTCACCATAGTGGGAATTGTAGTTTCCCCTACAGCCAAAGATCTCACTGAACCCTACAATGATGCATCTAGTGCAAACTTGTCCAACATAACAAACTTTAAGTACTGGTGGAGTTTTTTGGGGTTAACTTGGCATGATGTGAGTTGTCGTTCACCCACAACTTTATGCATTTTATACAATCAAAATTTACTTTTTCAAATAACCTGGGCAATGCCGAGTACTCAAGGTAGTAATAAATAAAATAGTAATAATAAAACTTTATTTATGTACTGTCCTATCTCCCTGAAGGGACTCAGGGTATATATATTTGTTTTTAAAAGGGAAGTTATAGTCATTGTAATCGGTAGCAAGTGATAGCTCAGTTGTTTGGAATTTTTCCTCATCCATCCAAGTTGGTAGCCTTCATGACTTATTGTTGCAAATCCCACCATTTAATTGTACAGCACTAAGCGAATACCATTTTATCCTCCACTTTTCACACTTTCATTTGATTTTCCATCTAGAAATGTTTATTTCTCTGCTGCTGGTGGTTCTTTTCCTGGTTTGTATATTAGATTCCTCTAGCCGTTTTTTTTTCTTGTGTTTGTAGGTATTTTGTATTGTTAATAGATTGTACATCATGTAAAGGACTTTGGTTAGTGGACAGTTTAAAATAGCATTAAGCAAACAAAGATATTGTGCAGTGTGTAATGATAGCCTTAGGTTAGGTGTTTGTTTTATCTTTGGCAGTTTGATTGCTGCAGCGAAACAAACTGTGTAGCACCGAGGAAGACATTAGTCGAAATGCATTTGTTCCGTACATTGGTTTGCGCCGTACATTGTGTTTCTTGCAGTTTGACACCATTTAAACTATGCTATGGAGTCCTGGGAGTTGTAGTTTCACTCTATCTTAGGCCTCCTCTGCCAAAGAGTTCTGGTGCCTCACCAACTACAAATCCCAGAATTCCATAGCTTTGAGCAATAACAATGAAAAAGCTGTTAAACTCTGTTCTGTCATGCGCTGGGCCTGTAAATAGTTGTCTTTAAAACAGGTCATGCAACCTTTGCCCAACGGGAAGCCAGGGGGCCTAAAGAGAAGTTCTCAGAGGTTTCCACCACAAACAGTCTTTAGATGGTTTGAGAAGTACAACAAAGTCTTTTATTAATGAACAATCAAACAGAAACTTCTCTTGTCTTCAGTAAAGTTAAGTTAATGATTCCAAGATTTTGGGCAACTGGTGAATTCCTAAACTTGTCCATGAAGGACAGGCAACTATCTTCAATAACTTCTTCTTTAAAGGAAAATCCCCTTTATAACTTCTCCCAGGCTGACTGAAACTTAAACCTAACTGATATGGGCACCACTACCGGGTTGAACTGCATCTCAAAGCACCGAGTGGACCTACCAGCAAGGCCTGTAATCTCTTCAGCTGGAGTTCTTTGATCTTTAGGGCTGTTTCCCTGGAAAGTCTTTGGAGACTCTTTTCCTTCTGTTTCTGTTGGAATTTCTGTAACCCTGGAAATTCTTAAAGCTTGAAGCTTTTGTACAGGGGATGTTTACACATGTCCTGTACATTGGCTAACCTAGCTGAGACTAACTAAAAAATGGCTCTCTTCCCTTCCCAATTGCCCTGAGCAAGGGGTGAGACCAAAACTTAATGATGATGGACAGGTGGCTTGCCCTATAACTGCAACCAAAAGAAGCCACCTATCTGCAGAGTCCCTGAAACCTAGGACTGCAAACATTCAATGCAAAGCAAACAAAATTGGAGCTCCTGGTACAGCTGTACCAGAACAAACTCCATTAATTCTATTGTGCAGGTGCTCATTATTATTTACATTATTTATTATATTATGTTATGAATAACTTTTCAATAACTTTAAAGCATAGGTTCTTTTATTTTAATTTTCCAGTAAGAGAATGGGAATCATAACTTTTACAGAACAATGTTTAGACATACAGATTCTATGTAACTACATTGGATTCCACAAACAACCCATAGTTACATTGGCTAACAAACAGACCATCAGCATTCACACACATAAACATTCAGTCAACATCATGCATAGATCACCATTTCACCATTCTTCCTCTGCCAAGGACATCTCTTAGAACAAACACAAACCACTACAAGTCATAGTACATAAATCACAAAGGTAATTTTTTTCCAGCTTATATAATGCAATATTAAATGTATAACCAACTTATATGATGCAGCATTGAGCAATATACAATGAACAAAAAACTGTTGTTTATACAGTGATTTTACATCAGTAACAAAAATAGAGTCTTTCTTGCTGTAAAGCAGATTTCTCTTAAGGGCATAAGATCCCTTACTTTAGAGAAAGATACTCTTGAGTGGAGTTTCCAGTCCATTGTAAGAGGATATCCATGTAGAGGATTTCCAGACTAAAGTCTTCCTCAGGTGGAGAGGCAGCGGGTGGGACTGGATGGCTCATGAGGTCTCTTCCAACTCTTTGATTCTATGATGATGATGATGATGATGATGATGATGATCTTCAACCTCAGCAAGATGGAGTGGGTGAGGGATTAGAGGACATCCAACCCCAAATTGGGAAACAAGTAGTACAGGAATACCTGGTCGCTCTAAATGAGTTCAAGTCCCCAGGGTCAGATCAACTACACCCAAAAGTATTGAAGGAACTAGCGGAAGTCATTTCGGAACCATTGGCAACCATCTTTGAGAGTTCTTGGAGAAGAGGAGAAGTTCCAGCAGATTGGAGGAGGGCCAATGTGGTCCCAATCTTCAAGAAGGGAAAAAAGGATGACCCAAACAACTACCGTCCGGTCAGTCTCACGTCAATACCAGGCAAGATTCTGGAAAAGATTGTTAAGAAAGTGGTCTGCAAACACTTAGAAACAAATGCAGTCATTGCTAATAGTCAACAAGAATTTATCAAAAACAAGTCATGCCAGACTCATCTGATCTCTTTTTTCGATAGAGTTACAAGCTGGGTAAATGCGGGGAATGCCGTGGATGTAGCGTACCTGGATTTCAGGAAGGCCTTCGACAAGGTCCCCCATGATCTTCTGGCAAGGAAACTAGTCCAATGTGGGCTAGGCAAAACTACGGTGAGGTGGATCTATAATTGGTCAAATGGACGAACCCAGAGGGTGATTCTCCACAATGCTTCCTCTTCATCCTGGAAAGAAGTGACAGGTGGAGTACCGCAAGGTTCCGTCCTGGGCCCGGTCCTGTTCAACATCTTCATTAATGACTTAGATGAAGGGCTAGAAGGCAGGATCATCAAGTTTGCAGACGACACCAAATAGGGTGGGATAGCCAATAGTCCAGAGGACAGGAGCAGAATTCAAAATGATCTTGACAGATTAGAGAGATGGGCCAAAACTAACAAAATGAAGTTCAACAGTGACAAATGCAAGATACTCCACTTTGGCAGGAAAAACGAAATGCAAAGAGACAGAATGGGGGACAATGCCTGGATCGAGAGCAGTACGTTTGAAAAAGTTCTTGGAATCCTCGTGGACAACAAGTTAAACATGAGCCAACAATGTCATGTGGCGGCAAAAAAAGCCAATGGGATTTGACCTGCATCAATATGAGTCTAGTGTCTAGATCCAGGGATGTCATGCTACCCTTCTATTCCGCCTTGGTTAGACCACATCTGGAATATTGTGTCCAATTCTGGGCACCACAATTGAAGAGAGATA